AGCTGCTGGCCGAGATCCGCTTCCTGGGCCTCAACTACAAGGTGCGACCCTGTCTGGGCTCCTGGGCCAGGGAGGTAACTGGGTGGCAAACTGCCTTTGGGGTCGTTCCTACTTCTTTACTTCTGGACTTGATACTTTTATTTAAACTGTTAAATATTCCATATATCATCAGAATCTTTATCCTCAGTAATATTTCATTTAATTGCCTAGAGCACTGCTCTTCCCATGTAGAATTGAGACTGCTTTTGTAGACAGCAGGTCATTAGCCCTCATATGTTGCATGAAATAATCTGCCTTCTGCAGACTGGGGACTGAGACATTGAGTAGCTTGTGACTGGCAGCGGAAATGCGATTCCGCTGCCAAACACGGCACAGGGTGAGCAGGTGTGGGCTCCTTCACTGCCCGCTCACTGGGGGTACACGGTGGGTTTGCAAGCAGCCACTGAGAGGTCTGTGTTCTTCCTGCAGTACATGGTGCCATTTCTGCTCAATCAAGGTGGATCTCTCCTCTTCTATCTCACCTTGGCGTCTGCAGGTTAGTTCTCATTGCTTTCACGGAGGGGGTTGATCAGAATTTTGGGAGGAGCAATGTTATCAGTTAGTCTGGTGACCCAGCAAATTTCAAGCAGCTGTCTTTTAATAATCAATAAAACAAGTGTCTTACAATTTGTACAAGATTATCCATTTTAAACTGTTTTTCAATTTCAGATCTGTCCCTGGCAGTACCACTCTGTAACTCCCTGGCTTTGATAGTCACGGTGGTAACGGGGAAGATTCTGGGAGAGGACATTGGTGGTAAAAGTAAGTTACACTTAAAACATTTCCTCACGTTGTCTCCTGCATCTGTTTGCTGACTAATAGTGAGGGCTACCCTCTGGTCTTCTGAAAAACAGCAAATACCCACACTAGATAAGTAGTAGCTCTTGCTACAGAAGCTGAAAAGGAAGTGAAATGGATGTGTAAGCGGGAAGGGCTAGTAAATTTGAAAATAGAACTATCTAAGCTAACCAGGACAAGTTTACAGGCCTGAGCCTTTACCTAACTAGATATTTAACCATAAGGGAAGGACTAAATAATACGCCCACCATGGAAAAGGGATGCCCTGTAAGCCTCCAAATGTCACCACCCATCCTTTTTTCCTTCCCTTACGTCCCACAATAACATTACCCCGTTCAAAGTCAAAAAATGGCAGGAAACTTTAAAGCTTCACACCACCAGGACCTGGCACAATAGCTGTAGGAATACACTAAAGTGGTTTTTTTGTTGTTTAAGCCTAGTTCTTGCTAGCCAGACGTACAACATCAGCAACATTTTCTTAGAAACATGCTTTGCCCAATGTATGCAGGCAATCCAAACATCCAGACCCCCTCAGAACTTGCCTGGTCCAGGTCATATCTGTCTGGAAATTTATGCTATCCCATTCACCGTGACACCTGAGCATCATCTATTTAGCAATGACAAAGTCTGACTGACTAGTGTTGACTTATGCAAGTTCCCAAGATGATATTGTTCATTTCTAGAGGGGCTGCGGCAGGAATGCTGCTCACTGTCCTAGGAGTCACGCTCTGCGTTGCTGGTTTGTGAAGGAAATGCAGTGAGAAGCAGAGGAAGAGAACCTGTTCACAGGTAACCCCTGCGGCTGAAGGGAGGGCTTCTGGCTCAGCGGCAGACCAATTGGCTCGGTTGGACCTAGGAAGCTGTTTTTTGACACGAGGATGTCAAAAGACAGGAAAACGTGGGCTATATTCCCTGAGCACCAGGGTGGAACAAGGTGTGTTGCAAGGACATCCTATTTAATGTCTTGACTTAAGGGATTTTTTTTGTCTGTGGGTGTTTCAAGGCAAGGATGATTGAATTGTCTTGTTCAGCACTGGAGGGATAATAAATGGTTAATAAATCGTTCAACTAGAGCTGCTGGGCCCAACTGTTTTTTATGTAGAAGGAATCTGTTTAGGAACTCTTCCTTTCATGGCCGAGCACGTGAAAGGGGTTTCCTTCACTGCACTCAGCTGCAGTGCACCAGGTCACACTGCACAGCCCCTTACACAGAGGTTACCATGTGCATTTTTCTCCACTGGAGCCTGGTAGAATCCCTCTCATCTGCCAGATAACAACAGTGTGGTTTGTCCCTTGGGAAGAAAGGGTGTTTTTCTCTTCAGTGAAATTATCAGTCCAAAATACCAGGTAGATCACAGAAGAAAAAAATCTTTGTTACCCTTGTAATTAAATCAGAAACACTAGGGAGGGAAATACAGAAAGCCTTGCACAAAGAGGGTTAATACAAGAGCTGTTTATTACTATGACTTCTCCTAAATTAGGCAGATGTTCCTAAAACAAGTTAACAGAAACAAAATGTGTATAGCTTGGGGAACAGGTTTGATTGCTGCACACATTTCTAAGCATTCCAAATCAGAGGGACAATGATGCGATGAAATCTCTTCATAAGAAGTATCTGAGAGAGAATAAACTTCCTGGCAGACATTCTGTTATAAAGGCGTATATTCTATTTCGTAATTCTTCCTTCCCAAGTTCAGATACAAATGGGCTTAATTAGAGTTCAGAAAAGCAGCCATCTCCTCTGCCACACCATAGAGATAAGGAAAGGAGGAAGGTCTTAATTATTTAATGAAATTGTGCATCTCATTCTTTGTTCACTGGTACTCTGCTTCTCAAGCACAGATGATGAGGGTGAATTTAGAAGAGTTGGTTAATTAACCTAAAAGCTGGGCCAGTCTGTGGTGTTACAGAAATCTAGCCCTGCAGATACCTTGCAGATAGCCATGTACCTAAGTGTCCTTGTCCTGTCCTGGTCCCTTTGCGAAGTCTTCAGAGCTCTTCGCTGCCGAAGGAAACATCATTCAGTGCTTTTCATCCTCCGAGTCATTGGCATCCCTTTTCTTTGCCACAGTCTTTTGTGATTTGTCTGTAGTCTGTGTCTTTTTTTTTTTTTTTTTGTGAGAAAGAAATAGAGTTACCAAAGTAGCACTTCATAATTACAGAAAGATTCTGGAACTAAATTCCTGGATTCCATTTCCACTCTCACCACCATGGCTTTGGTATGCAAACTTGGGTCTCAATGTTAAATTCAAAGGTAGTTTATTTAATGCCTAATGATCCTCTCCCGCTGCAGAGGAGAGCTGTGACACTCAAGTAACAACTGTATAGCAGTGTGGTCGGGGGGGGGGAGCGGGGGACAGGCCGACAGAAAGCAGTGGCACAGAATACCCACCCCACGGAGAAATGCTGGCCCAGCCTCTAAAGCAAACACAGCACACCAGGCCTCAGTGAGCCAAGAAGCCAGGAACCATTACCTAACTCTTCACTAAGGCTTTCTCAAATTAAAGTTCAAAGGAGTTGTGTTCCTTTGAAGTTCTAATTAATCCAAAGAGACTACCTAGGCAGAACCGTGAATCACCTACAACAAAATGCATGTCATCCCATTACATCAATTCTAAATGTCCTCATGAAAAGTTTAAAACACTGTTACGCTACAAACAATAAGCGCGCTGCAGATATTTTTCACACAGAATTTTGTTTTAAAACAACAAGAACTACTTTTTTTCCTTTTTAAAAAAAACCTTAAACTTGTTACTGTCTAATAAATGTGTTCAGTCATTTTAGGAATTACATGTTTATTCCATGCCAGCTTCTGAGCTTCGCCTGGCTACAAGCACGTTCTGCTTAACAAGTTATATTTGGGGGAACTGAGTTTTAGCGTGAGAAATCTGAGCACAGCCAGGAAGGATCTTACATACTGCATAGAACCATTAAGTGAAAGAAATACTTTACTGTGGTGTATCATTTTGGCTTTTGGTATAAGTTCTTCTGCAACTCTCTGGAACAGGAGTAAGGATAGAAGTAGTAGGCACAAAAAAATCTAGGAAAGCTTTTGATATCCTTACTGCAGTGGGGAGCTGTAACTCACATTCCAGAAGGGAAATGTTCATTACCCGGATGACAATCTCGGCTTTCTAAAAATGTAAAGCCCTGCAGTTACACGCTGTCCTCTGGTTTCTGAAGTTCCCCCTAGTGGTTACTTTCATCTTTACACATTGCAGAGAGAAGCACAGTGCTTCGCAAACCTAACCAATAGGACTTAAAACAAGCAAAAAACTGAAGGACTTCCCCAAGCAACTGCTATAAACTATTGATTGACGCGTTCGCATGGGCTGGCTCTTGGAGTTGGCCTCCCTGCTGCGCAAAACCTGCAGCACAGAGAGATTCTAGTGGAACCACGAGTACTACCCTGCAGCTAGTAGTGAGACTCCTAACAGGGCAGAAAATCATTCCTCATACCTGATCAGTGGGTACGTCTTCCCTTGTGCATTCATCCTCTTTTACTTGCTGGGCACCTCGCACCTCCTTCCTAGGGTCTGTGGCTTTATAAACACTTTCTTCTGTGAGGAGAGGAAAAGAAAGTTGTTCAACGGGTATTGCAGATAGCCATGGCCTGGTCATGCTGAGGCTACAGAAAGGTCCTCGTATGTGCCCAGGTGAGGAGAGGAAAGAAGCAGAAATACAGAAGTTGTTGGCTGCTTCACTGCTTTCTTTCAGTGCATCTGCAGGTATTTCGTCCTTTAGCATCAAAGTAAAGCCAGTCTTTCTCTACAATTTGCAGCAGTGTCCTTTACCTTGATCAGGCCAGTGCTGCACATTCCTGTTGCTCCTTCTGTTTCGCCCCGCACGGACAGGCTTAGCATGGAAAATGGACTCTTCCTCTTTGAGGCGAGATTTCCTGGCTTGCCTTTGCAGTTGTGGAAAAGCAGCTGGGATCTTGTCTTTCTCTGCAGCTCCTGTGGTCTGCACCCTGCAACTGTCCAGCTGAAAGTATTCATCACACACTTCTTGATAAAGCAGTTTATAATACAAGAGAAGTTTTGCAGGGCAATCCCCTAAACACTGCAACTTTCCCCTGTTTTAAGTCGATACTACAAGTGAAACAGGTACAGGGAACACATACAACACTTTTTGCAGTCACTACTACCTGTTGAGGTGGTTCAGCAAGAGCAGAGTTACCAGCTGTGTCCTGGGAGGTGGCACAGAGTTCACCAAACTGAAAACAAACAAAACAAAAAAAAAGGAAAAAGGAAAAGTTACAAGCAAATAGCATAAACACATGTTTCAATGGACAATCCAGGACAGCCCAGCTGCTGCATCTGTGCTCTCTCTTGGGCATTTTACTCCCACAGTGAGCAGGAAAGATATCCTAGCTCCAGAATGAATTCCCCCTGCCCATCAACCAAAAAGCAGAAGAGGTAAGCGAGGCCACCTTAAGGACTTTTTCTTCAGGCAGCAAGGTTTAATTCAAATGTGATCTGGCCATGTAGTTGTCTCCAGCTCCTCTCCTTTGGGAATAGTGCCAAGCGAGGAGGCCATAGCCATGGCAATTGGGAATGGAGATGGATGTACACATCCACTGTTCATGGAGGGATGCCTGCACAAAGGAACCGCGATCATAACACAAACAGTCCCGCGCCAGCTGAACCACCTACCCTTCTGCGGTACTTTTTGTGCCTGCTGTTTGGGTGGTTCCTGTAACAAAGAAGCAGCAGATTCTCAATGTCAGGCAGAAGTCAACTGTAGGAAGGCAGGATCTCCCTTTTTCCCATAAGAGAGGGCCCCTGAAGGGTTTTTTTCTCAGGACAGGCAGAGCACACTCCGCACATTCCCATTACATCACACTGCCCACCACAGGCCTGTGATGTGCAATGCAGGTGCTCCTCTGTGCTTGATGAACACTTAACTGAGAAGCAACCAAACCACTTGCTTTCTCTGCCACTGAACTCTAGATTTCAGGGACTAACCCTTACACCAAAAGCTTTGAAAACACATTCCTTCTTCCTAAACTTCCAACACATGAAGCAAAACTCAAGTTTTGAAGCAGACAGCACTGAACAGCAGGGCTGCAAAAAAAGATGGCTTTAGCTGAAGACTACCACAGAAAGGATTCTTTAAACCACTTGGCCACAGTCTACATACCACAGTGTTCTGCACGCAGAATCCTGGGGCACCAGTAGCTCAAAGTAAGGCAGTTTTTTGTACTCCTCATTTCCCACTGCCACATAGTAATCGCCATTCACCAGCTCCTCCCCACCAGACACCTGGGTTCCATCCAGCCTGCAGAGTCTCGAGGAAGAGACAGCAAAGGGTTCAGAGCTGTCACAAGACTGTGAACAACCCCTCAGTGTGGAAGCAAATGTGCAAAGTGATAAACGGGACCGAGGCAAGTCAGAGAGGCTCATTCTTAGCATTGCTCCAAGGAAGTGCACAGAAACATTACACCCAGTGATCAGTGAGATGCAACAGATCTCAGCTTTTTCCTTGGGTGTCAGTAAATAGATGTATGAGGAGAAGCTAGGCTGTATTTGTTGCATAAAACTCCTCTCTCTAGACATAAACCCTTTTTATGCCACGTTTTACTGCTTGCTTATTGCTTTTTCACTGGACACCAGCATCATCAGCCCTCCTCACAGAGCACCCAGGACATTGGGGTTATCCCTAATTTAAAGACGGGAAAACCTGGAAAGCAAATGAGTTTGCAAAAGCAGACTGGAAATGGCTGTCTGAACTCCCAGTCCTCTGTGCTAATCAGAGCTGTTCATGTTCCGGACATGGGGAAAGGGGAGCCAGCAGCGCCTTTTCTGGATACTCACTTGTTAACAGCTCCGCTGCGCAGGTCGGCTTTCTCTGTCAGCACGGCCAGGAGTACGTCCCACTGCAGTGGGGTGCTCTTGGAGAGCGGCAGTGGGAAAGGAGGGCTCAGCAAATCCCCGTTCCGGAAAACACTGCAGCAGAAACAACCCAGAGCATGCGATGAGCCAGTATTCCTGCAGCTGTGAAAGATGGGGGGTGAAAAAGCCAGCTACTGGTGCCTGGGCAGTATTTACAGCAAATACTTCAGGCAGAAGCTGGGAATTGTCCCTGTGGGGCAGCATTCCCAGGATCTCACAGAGAAATTCCCTCCTCCAGCCCCCAAAAACATTCCCAGAGAACATCCAAGGAGAAAACATCAAGGCACTTACTGTATTGTGCAGGGCAGGCGGGCGTGCTTCTGCCATCGCACCAAGACGTTCGGCTTCCAGGGAGCTACAGTGTGGAACTAGAGACCGAGTTCAGTGCACAAGAACAGCGACAGCCCTGGCACGGAGCCTCCAGGGCTGTTCCCTTTTCTCCATCAGGAGCTGCCGGCGGGACAGTGCCAGCCCTGGGGACGCTGCCAGCCCTGCCTTCAGGCTTGCTGGTGCTAGGTGGGGTTTGTTGTCAGCAACGCCAAGGCTGGGGAGGCTCTTCACATAGCTGAGCATGTTCCAGAATTGCCAGCGAACCTCTGAGCACCGTTAAGTGGGGTGGAAGGCACGCAGCAGCAGCCCCTGCACTGTCTCACACGTGTCCTACTGATTCCTGTAGCACTTTGGCCTGATCTCCACCCAGCACCTCGCAGCCTTAAATTTCCACTTCAGTTGGAAATTTGACAGTTGGACTTGATGATCCTAGAGGTCTTTTCCAACCTTAAAGATTCTGTGATTCAGTTTTATCACCTGCGTTCCTGCCTGCCTGCGCTCAGCTCAGGGACTCACCTGCAGACCCTTGCTGTTCGTTGTCCCACGGAGCTCCTTCCTTCCATGATTTAAGTAGCTGCGAGAACAAGACAACAACGTTGCCACATACCAACTGGCCCGTGGCTTACTGAAGAGCAGTGAGAAAACGACACACTGCTCTGCCTCGGTGCATCACCACCAGACATGTGGGTGACTTATTTGGGTCACTTCTGAAACGATTCTCTGGGTGCCTCACCTCATGGTCTCCCAGAACTTCAGTCTAAGTTAACGTCTGCTACATTTAAGAAATTCCCAGCTGAATACAGACCATTGCAGATCCCCATGCTAAAAACACCCAGAACATTTCATTCCTTTGTGTTACTCACTGATCATAGCTCCAAGGGCTGAGCGGTGTTAATGCAGCCTGGACCACCTCCTCAACAAAATGCAATACATACCAGGGAGTAAAATTCACCTCACACACACACCCCCTCAAGAGCCAAGCGATGCCACAAAACCCTCTTTAACCGTCTGTATTTCAGGATGGACCAAAACAGGTCTATTTTGTGCAGGATTAGAAAACAAAAAGCCTCCATCAAACCAAAGCAAAAGTATTTGTCAGTGGAGACAGCATGACTGCCAGCTCAGCCAAGGAAGCGGGCAGCAGAACCTCCCACACGCCACAAAACAAGGTGCACAGAAAGCAGAGCAGCACTGATCACAACATCCTGCCAGAGAAGGCATGCCTCCCCCAACATGTTTTCTTCTGAGAGACAAGTGACCTTATCAGGAATATTTGCATTTTCCATGCGATCTGGAACACCTCCAGTAGTTTCCAGTAGGAAAATAAATTAATCGGTCTGGTTTTCGTTGGGTTTGTACCCCTCTTACCTCTTCTTTTTCCATTCACACCCGAATACATCCCCTGTGGAGGTGAGGTACAGCTGCTTACCAAACCCAGAGCCCAAAGGTCCGTCTACTCACTCAAGCCTTTTGAACTTTTCAAAGCCCGCAGCCACATACTGGCACCCGTCCTGCAGGTCCCCCAGCTCAGCGACGTGGTGGCCATGCCTGGGTGTGTAGAGGTTCCTCACGGCCAAGGGTGCATGAATGCTCTTGGTCACCTCGTTCAGAAATGCCTCAAAGGTCAGGAACCGCCGCTGGTTCACTACAAACTTCCTCCCAGGGAAGAAGGGGTCACCGTTGCGATACACCACCACATTCTTGGCTGGAGGTGCCAGAGCTAAGCCGCAGGAGCTCATCCCCCCCAGGAGTCAAGCAAGCCCCGCTGACCAGAGGGACAAAGAGACCAATGTGGGGCGTGGAGGAGAGCCCCGGCCAGCCTCCCACCAAACCCAGGCCCTTCCAACCAGCCGCTCTTGCGTTCTGCCGTCCCTTCGCAGCACGGTCTGGTGCGACCGGCTGTCTCCATGGACGCAGGCCCAGCAGGAGGAAGTTGTGGGCCAGTCTGGAGGCCACATCAAACAACCTGCAGAGCACCTTTCTACCTGAGAACGAGGAACTGCACAGCTCTGTAATCCTTAAACGCCAAGTACTGTGAGCTCCCTCGCTAGCCACTGCGGCCACCAGGCTCAGATTAACCAGCCTGGAGGTACAGTAAGTGCCACTATCTTTATGGCACCGGCTCACATCCCATGCGGGGCAGCACTATCCAGAAGCTGTCACCCCCTTGCCACTGCTTGCTACCTGCATGAGAAGTGCAATAGGTTTCTGTCCTGCGTGTATCAGACAAACATCCTCATCTCAGCGGGCACACCACTCTTTGCACTGAACAGGTTGCCACGGGTTGAAACAGACCATGGATTCACCTGGCTCTTCCTGGGAGAGGAAGGCAGGCCAGACAGGAACAGATTCAGAGACGAGCGTCAGGAAAACTTTTTATTCACAAACAAGTCGGCATGATTCCAGAGCAGAAGAATACATCTGCCATATGGCAAGAGCGACCGTTCAGGCAGCAGGAATGCCAAGTGTTTGCACGGAAGACTTGGGGTCACAGTAAGGAACATGGAAAGTCCCTTTCTGAGGGACCTCGAATGGCCCTGAACCACAGCAGCATATGGACAAAGCGCCAAACCCTGTAAGTCCTTACTTGCCCCCTCGAGCACCAGTCCAGGTGACTCTGCCACACAGAGAGGTATCACCGTGGCCAGAGATGTGCAAGTTGGGAACCAAGCCTCATCTCCTGAAGGTCAAGTTTGATGTGCCATTGCCCCCCAACAACTGCACAGGAAAGTTGGGGAACTCTCCTCCTAACTTATTCTTGCAACTAGGTATTCTCCAAAGCCTACCACGAGCCCTTGGGAGATCCCAGATATTGCAGAGCCACCCCAAATACACAGCTCAGATACCGATATGGGTCACCCGCAGATCACCAGAGAAGAGCTTGATCCTGCAGGTTCAAAGCACCTGCTGCCTTCGGGTATTTTAGTTCCACCAGAGTTCTCCCCTAGCCCAGCCAACAGAAGCAGGGTTCTTCTGGAAGGAGGTATCCCTGGGACTCCCTCCAGGACACACAACCACCTCCTTGGCTGCACAGTGACGTTTAATCCTTGCTTTGACCAAAATTCCCATTTGAAATAAATAAAAGGCTTTCTTGCCACATTCATCTGAAGTGGAAAACATCAACTCAGGGAGCTGGAGTTCCCCTAAGCTGCTGCTGTCCGTGAGGTCATGTCACGATGGCGGTGCTGCAGCTCTGCACCAACATCAGTGCCCCACGCGCTCAGGAGTGCCCTCCTACGGGTCAGGAGTGCCCAGCCTCTGTTTCAGCATCAAGTACTGCAAGAGAAAGAAAATCAAGTGTTAATGATTAAATCCCAGAGACTGGAAGTAGGAAAGAACCCACCCTTGCAGATTAACGAGCAGAATCATTGCACTTGGCCAGAAGATGCACAAGTCTCACCTTTCCAGCAATGCAAACAGCAGCTCGCTATGGGAGCCAGTGCCTCGGTACCTACTGCTGCGCTGTATAGCCAGGATAGTTATCCCAGTAGCAAGGTCTCTGTAGCAGGCCAGGAACAAAGCTTGTACCCAGATCTAAACAGCTCCTATTCGCCTTCATCATCCCTTTTCCCACCATTCCCCAGAGAAGTTAAAAAAAAAAAAAAGACACTGCCGTCATCCAGTCCAATCCCTGGGCAACTGAGCCAGCCCCAGCCACAGCCCCACCACACACAGCACCG